TAATTTACATTCGTATCCCTTTTGCTTTCTGATTTGGTTCCTTGGCAGTGAATGAAAATACCTGTTCTGAGGCAACCATTTCCCTGCAGTTGCAACTACGTTTCATTCTCTGAATTTTGCTGGCCATTGCTTCAGCACAGTGTTTCTTCAACTTAACGATGAACCACTGCATACAAATTCAAAAAGTACAATTGCAACACCTTTCTTCTTGTGTTTTCATCTTTTAGAGCCTGGGGATTTGTGTTTTTTTACTGATAAACGATGATAGTCATATTTCTTTATGTCTTATGCATGGTCTGTGCCCCAAATTTAAACCAAGATTATGGATTCATCTACAATTTGAGGCAAGGCTGAGGTGGCAACTGAACTCTGATAAGGATGGGAAGTCGGAGGCTAATGTGGCAAGCAGGTTTTGACTAGTTTATTCTTGGATGCCTCCCTCATGTGTATTGACAATCAGTGGGTGAGATTATGATTATGGAATATGGGAGAATGAGGCCAAGGCAATGAGCAGACAATGGCTGGTGGACATGGGGAAAGCTTCAGAGGACTATTTGTTGGACGTTCATGGATCACCTATGGGAGATTCTATTTTGAGCAATTGTTGCTTTGCAAAACTGCTCTAAAAGAGACTAATGGGTAGCTTTCACTTTCACATTCATGAAGGGAAAGGAAGCATGTAGAGATAGACATGGGCACCCACAGGAGCTTATGGCTTTTGTTGGAATGCTAAAACCATTCTTTCATTTTTAAAAAGTTTGTCTTGCAAAATTCACTCAATCCTAGTTTTCATTGTTTATCTGCCCTGTACTATTTATTCCATTTGCTTCCTATATTTCTCTGAAGTAGAGGTTATAGTCTTTCTTAAATAGACCCCCCTACTTAAAGCAACTTTGGACATAAACTATGATTTATATTAAAAACTGTTCTAATCTGGTCAAGAATGTTCTTCTGGTGCCAAATTATGAGCTGCTTTTTTTTTTTATGATGAGGATACTTTCCCACAAGAAAACTGGAAAGAAGCCATCAGCTCCTTTCACACTGTCCATTTCCTTGAATTCCACAGGAAGACACAGAAATCCAATATAAAACATAGGCATCATGTTGTCTTCTGGTTCCTATAAAGTGTATTTTAAAAGATATCCATATTTTTTTATCTAGAGAAAAGAAGGCAGTTATGTTGTGAGCATTTCTATTATTCAGAAAGCGATAAGTTATTTCATCTAAAATTGCTTGGTATCTGGCCCCAATGGTTATATTTTAACAAAAATAGTTTCCAGTGTTCAGTTATCATTTTCAATTTTTTTTCTTCCAGTCAGTAGCAGATAACGTGAAACTGTGGCTTCACCAAACATACTCCAAAGCTTGTATTTGCTTCAAATGTAGGATGTGTAATGAAATTATTGAAAGTTATCATTTGCAAATCTAATGAATCAGTTACTTTTATTTTGGAAAGAGTCATTTCATTCACTTGACTTAATGACATTGGTTTGAACTTTACTGCACTGGATTGGACTAAACTGGACTGGTATCAATAAAGGAGCATATTTGAAGCTCAGGATTGAAATGAGGGGTCCTTAGTAACATCATCAGTGCTAGTAGACTGGATTGAACTGTACTACACTGCACTGCATTACATTGGTTCAGAGATAGTGCAATTCCATCAGAAATAAAATTATCTGGATCAGTAGAGCCACTAAATTTAAAATATATTAGTAAATGAAGTAGAGGACTGTTGAGGGTAAGGAGGAGTGAAAATTTTCAAAAGAAATGACATCAAACCCCATGAAGATACATAGTCTAGCTTTCAGCTCAGGACTATCTAAAATGGCTCTCACACAACTGCTAACTTTGTGCAGAAACCATTTTGTAGCATTGAGATTGCAATGAGTGATATGATGTAGGAGCAAATAACTGGGCAGAGCTTAATTTCCTTTGTACCTATGAGTTATTTCTCATGATACAGAGACAGTTGGTACCATATAGTAAGAAGCAATCCATACTGTGTCAAATTAGAAAGCATCATATAATTATTCTATGTTGAGATTTTTTCATGGAGTCCACTAGAAAGAATCATGAGTGTGTCTGGAAATGCATTGTGTATACAATGACAATAAAGGTGTGCAAAATCCAAGGTGCTAAACAGGAGCAAAGAGTTTGATGGTATGAAGAGTATTTTTCTGAAACTGTTGATTTGCCTGAGATAAGAATTTAGTGGGTTAAATATTATTCAGAAGTGAATAGCTCAGCTTTGGGCACATATTTACATATTGCTTTCATAGCAAAATGTTTGAATGCAGGCCAAACCAAGAACAGCGATAAGAGGCTCAACTGCAGTTTCTGGCCTCTGTTAACATGGAATGTGCAACATTTGTAAATTTCTGTTTGAGTCATTTTTACTTTTTTTAAATAAACTTCTGCCAAATCACTCCTATATATGCACCTTAAATCATTGAATGAATTATCTTTTGCTGAACTGACATCCCATAGCTCACCAAATAGCTAACTCAGCATACGTAGAATTAACTATTACAATGTTAGCTCTGATTTGGTGATTATTCTGGTATTTGAAAAATGTGTTCTCCCTTTGGAAAGGGAACCAAATTCTTCTGACTTTAGCATATGCCACAGCCGCAATCTTGAAAAGGGAGCTCAAAAAACTGCAGAGAAACTGATAGTGACATTCTAAATTCTCAGATTTAACGAGTCTGTTTCTAAGATATCTAAGCCTGAACAAAAGGTGGAAAGTCCCAGTCGATTTTCAATAGTCTCAGTGTATTTCCTAGGTTTGTTAATAATTTTTTTGTTGTAGGTATAACCAAAGGAAGTGAAGTGTTCCTTCTCTTGCAACGTTTTAATCAGTTCCTATAAACAGATTCCTCATTGTGTGATAAAATCAAGAAGTTAAATAAAAACATGCAAAAAAAAAACAAAACAGTAATAGCATGATATGCTGGCATTTTTCTACTAGATGAGGTAACAGACAGTAAAGCAAGCACATCTTTAAATAATGGCAAACATTTTAATGTGCACCATTAAAAACCACGAAAACAGGAATGAATGGGTTTTCCATGTTTCAAATTCCTATATCCACCACATATTGTGCCAGGGGATAGACGACTATAGCTGTACAGCTCAGCTGTTGCACAATGTGGTAGCCTGAAGCAGAAAGTCAGTTCTTAATTTAATTTCTTACTACTGTATTCTCTCTCCACCCCAAGGGAGAGCAGCTTGCAGGATTTCTTTCTTTCTTTCTTTCTTTCTTTCTTTCTTTCTTTCTTTCTTT